GGCCCTTTATTAATCAACTTCTATTTTCTCTCGTAAATTAATAAAAACAGTGTTCACGCTTTTTCGAACATTAAATACGGACATATTACAGGAAAAACATTTCCGCTATGGTCGTGTTGAATGGCAGGGACGTACTCACAGTGTGAACAGGTACGGATTTATTTTGCTACGCTTAATTGAACACATAAAGTAGAGTGTCCATGCAATTTCCAACGTTTATAACTCACCCATCTGAGTATGCCGGAGACTTAATTGCCTGTCGTAATATAATGATCACCGGCGTTGTTTAATGTTACGATATTTTCCTTTATTGAACACGAACGATAACTTCCCATTTTAACTTATTGTTTTAGCCGATTTATTCTACATTTATTACTCTGTGCCTTATCCTCGTTATTAAAAAAAAACTGATTGTTATTAAATTTTCTGCTGTCTTTTTCTGTAACTCTTACTTTATACGCTGTCCCAATATTCCTGATAGTTCTCTTAAATGTTTTCTTTTAACTAGTTTCTTTTGTGCGATCATATCATTGCTATATACACTTTTGGCGAAACTTTCATTTGCAATTAACGCTTTACACTTATACTAACGTACTCCAACCGTAGTAGACTTTACATAATCATCACCATCGTCATCCTCCTTATCCTACTCCCGTAAGGTCGACGCAACAGGTTTTTGTACTCCAAATAACTCTATCATACATACGTCATCTCAAGTATCACTCCCTTTTAGACTCCGTAGTAGACTTTACAGTTTTTAATTATTAAATCTTTTTGTTTTGTTCTTTAAATGTTCTTTTAGGATGGCATGGCCTCTTATACAGCGTACGTTCATCATTAGCGCTAAGCGTAAAACATTACGCTGACGTAAATTGGAACTAAATAACTAATGCACTTTCTGATTCTAGTCTAGTATTTTCATTTTTTTCTTATCGTATTCTGATGTAGGTACTGTAGCACGTTCTTAATGCTTCAATTATTGTATTACTTTCTAAGGTTATTAGTTAATTATAATTATATTACTTTAAAAGTTTGTTCTGGTAGTGACCTTTCGTCCCCACCTATTATAATGTTAAAACTCTTGTAAATAAAAACGCTTAAGTCAAATCATTGAATACTTAAAAATAACTTGACATTGACAGAATTCGTTTCGTATATAGATCTTTTCAAATTTTCCTCTCTCGTTTTCTGCGTTAAATTAATACCGCTTTTTATCGGAAGACGATCCATTTAATTATTATTGGCCGACTCCTCGGAATCGAAATCGTTTATATGCTTGTGTCACTTTTAAGTTGAAATCAATCTACACTTTTGGTAATTGCACAAAAGAATCATTTTGATTACTGCTTTAAAAATTTGTTGGAAAAGTTGAATAAAACGAAAACCGTATCCCATATTGATAGCAGTTTCATAGAAACACACAATGTTTATTAATCAAAATACATTTTTAAACGTCAATTTATTATTAATTTCCTTAACATGAATATGGTTCATAAGAGCACATACAGGAATCTTAACGTACTTTAATTGACCTCATAAAACAGCTAGTTCATACACTATTCATCGCTTCCTTCCCGAGGGAACGCTAGAACTTAATTGCCTGTCGTAATATTACTATATGGAGTCAGTCGTGTGATGATGGTATTAAAATGTGTGCCGTATTACACATCGTCTTTACGTAGTCTTGAACTAAATCTTGGGCTGGATTAGATCTTGCAGGTGTTAAAATATTCCAAGTAAAACATCGTCAAAGTACTTTCGTCAAAGTGGGTAATACGAGCCAGTATTTGAATGCACATTAGCTTATTATATTGCTTTGTTTGACTGGGATATCAAATCAAAAACAACAATTAAGAAGTGGATGAAAATTTTCTTTAAAGTTGTATATGATTTTATTAGCTCCAATTGCAACAGTGTTTAACGTTATACCGCCTGATGCCGCGTTGTTTGAACGAACAGCATCCGGCCTCGTTCCATTGTCACTATAACTTTCTGCTTAGTTCTCATTGTTTTCTCTTAATAAAGCTCTTCACTATGACACTTTAATGCGACAGTTTATGTGACATTTTAAAGCCGTGGTTTATTGCAATGTATGTTTCATTTTTATTATACGGAACATTAATTTTTAAGGAAATATCTGAGGACAGTTTATATATTGTATTTAGAAAAATTAAATGGAACTTTAATAAGATTCTCTGTGACAATATATGCTTTACGGAAGCTTTCATTAATAAAATACCTTTTAAGAAGGTACATTTTTGTGACCATAGTTACTATTGCAGTGACACTTCTACTGTTACGTATACTTTTGTATTATCTTTGACAAAACAGGGACTACAATAGTTATTAATACAAGTGGAATTATATGATTACCTACAATTTAAAGAGTCAAAGTCCTTCAATTTTATATCAACGTTTTCAATCAATGTAAATAAATAGATTATGTTCCGCAAACATCAATAGTCACCTGGACTTGCTGGAAGTCTCACGTACTTCGATTTGCAGACATAATGGCGGGGCACCGGAGCGTGGCTAAGTTATTACACGCCATTGATGGCTGTAAGCGTCAGTAACGTGAAATGCCTGAATGCGATTGCCAATTTATCTAGCGGTTAGGTCATTCGAGTCCTACAGGAAGTGATTGAGCGGTTTGATATGGACGGCTTTAATCCAGCATTCGATTCTACAGGTTGTGTTACGATATATTAATGAGTTTTGCTATTGAAGATATTTATGATTTTTTTTTATTTGTTTTGGTAAATGTTAGATTTTATTTTTAATCCTTTTCAGGATTGTGTTTTTAAAACGATTGTTTGTATTTTATCTGTATTAGATTTTTACTGTCAATGTTACTTTTGTAAAATAGAAGATAGGAGAGAGAGATTTTGAAATCACATACAATTTAATAATTTAATCAGTTTCTAACACTAATGTTTGTGCGCCAGCAATTCATTTTCTTTTTCTCAGGTTTTCTTATACCCTTTATGAAAACTTAATCTTCTTTCGCGTTGTTTGCACAGATAGCGCCCGCTTCCGCTCTGATTTCATTCTTTGTGTTCTGATATTTTATAAAAATTCTTAGATTATTGCAACGTCGTTTGTTTTTCCGATGTTAGAATAATCAGTTTTTTTATTATTATACCATTCATTGGATGTGGATCTTCATAAAATGTAAAAGTTGAAATTCAATTTATTAAAATTATTTTTATCTCTTTTTTTACAGAATGATTGAGAAAGAATAATTTGTTTTTCCTTTAATGTTTCAGTGAAAACCCACGGTAAAGCGTACATTTATCAGGCACTTGAACAAACTCATGATAATGTAATTCCAAGTTTACGTTCGTATGTAAATATGCGTTGAGTTATAAAGCGTTGTAGATTGGAGTGTAACTATAAAATGTGTACGTTTTATACGTTCGTGTTTATTTGACAAGTTAAATAAATGTTCCAGACACATAAAAAGCCTATAGAATTCGTATGCTTCAGTAGTCAATGTTTACTTTATTTGGCAGGCTTATGATTGTAACCTTGGTAGAAGGACGATTTATTTTTTGAAATAGACTTTATTTGGTCTTACCCCTCATGTTCTTTACTAGATCCTAAGTGGCACTGCCTTAGGGAAGATGTTAGGTATACATTAAACGCATTAAACAATACTTATCATACGTTCATTGTATTCCTTCATTTTTATTTGCAGTAATTTTAAATTACAATAAGTATGTTAATATGTATATGAAATTTCAGCATTGTATTATTATATTAAAACTCAACAATCATAAAATGAAAGCACTTATATTGTAGAGCAGTACTGCATTGTTAAATTTTATACAATTCTAATTGAAGTCGTAAAAGAACCGGAGTTCATGCAATATTCAACGTTTCTGTATAGCAAAGGGAACTCTTAGGAAGTCATAACTGAACGTTGTTATTGATGTTCCATCTCCAACAAAGGTAACTAGCGCGCTTCGCAATCTCTTACTAAGCAGTATTATATCGATGTCATTTTTCTCGTAGGCAATAAGCTACGCTTCTCGCGGCAAAGACGTGCAATAGACATGGAATCATTTTGTATGAGATTTTTATCTAGAAGTTAATCCAGTAAGATGAAAAGATTGTGAATAAAATGTTCATGAGAATGTTGGTACAATATGCATATTGCAGAGAAAAAAATAAAACGAAATTGGATTTCACAAAATGATTCAAATTAAAATCGTTGGCATTGACTTGCGATTGAGATGCAAAGTTGAAGGTCCACTCCTATTAGTGTACTCTTCAGAATTCTAATACAAACTGTACGTATAACGATCCTCATTTATACATCGGCTTCATTAGAAGTTATTTCAATCTATGTTGTGCAAGCAATTAGTATTTTAGAACTTATTTTCGTTCTAGACTAGTTGAGATGTTAAGCACTTAATCCTTTCATTTTGTATGAAATCTTTTTTGTTATATTTTCTTTTTCTGCATTAAAGTCATTTCGTATGTAGGTCATTAGCAGAAACACAGGCTCGTTATCGTGTGTACTCCTAGCAGCGCTCGTTTGAGATAAGCCGGGAACGTTAAATACGTGCCTCTTGCGGCTTACGGCCCATCAGTGTTTTTGTATCACAAAGAAAACGTCTTCACTACATCGTAGCAATATTTAATCAAAGAGAATCTGTCGCTTGATTTTTTAATCGTGTATTTTAGGAAATTTTCCACTTCCTCGTGAAATTAAACAATATATGAATAAACGAAATTGTATGATGCTTATCATACTAATATTATAAATGTGAAAGTTTAGATGGATGGATGTTTATTAAAGTTTGTAGCCTAAACGGATCAACGGATTTCGATGATATTTGGTATAGATGTAGAGGATATTCTGGAAAAACACATAGGCAACTCACTTTTGTTTTTATTAATTCCACGGGGACGGTGTCGCGAGCGAAAGTTAGTTAAAAGTAAATATTCAATCTAATAAATCTAGTTTGATTCTAAATAAATCTATTTTGTTACAGATGGTTGGAATAAGATGGTGCTCTATTTGCAGTAAATGATTAAAGGTAATATTTATTTATTTATTTGGTAAATTAAAAAGCTATTGACATTTTTATTCTCTATAGATTTATTGTAATCCTAAGGAGAAAATTTTAAATAAGCTCTTATCGAATTTTGTTTACTTTCTAAGCATAAATCTTAAATCACAGTAGCGTTCGTTGCACACGAGCTACAGTAAATTTTAAGGGAAAAAAAATCACGTCTCCTCACGTAAATAGAATTGGACCTTGGAGTAATTTATTCGTACATTTTTCTTTTTTTTAAGGTTATAGAAAAAGATCTCAAACCTATTTACTATTTTTCTTCATTTTTAAATAAAGATTTACTAAGATTATCATTTTGAAGATTAAACACGTATTATTAAAATTTTAATTACAATATTTAGATTATCTAAGAATAAAAAAATATTCCTCATCTACACCTAGTCACCAAACAGCGAAAAAAAAAAATCTTTTACCTAACTGGTTTTGTAACTGGTTAGGAAAAAGGTATAAGCTGTCTGAAACAAAGGAAAATTATAATATGTTAGGAAGGTATCAAGGTAGGTTGCCTTGTAGTCCAACGGAGCTTTGTAAGGTCCGGGCATCGCTTTATCTTATTACACGTGTCACTTGTCCGACGGCTGTCCTGTAACCCCCTACCTAATGTAACACGTTTACAATGTCACTTTATTTATACACCTTCATAAACTCACATAGAACATTAGTTCTATGTAATTATACAAGAGACGTAGACGTATCGTATTAGTATAAAATTCGCATAAGTTGCGGTTATTTATCACTATTACAATTATCTGAAAGTTGACATAGTAATTAGTAGCGATGAGTGATAATTGTCAGGAAATATTTTCGAATAAAAGATTGGAAAAAAGTAAAACTGGTCGTAGATTTTATATTGTGGCCACTTTCGCTTTACTATTCTTTTCCAATAGTTACCTTGGTTCCACAGCGGCATAGAATATCTTGTAATTAAAAAAAATGCACGCATTTAAATGAGTTCTTGGCCGTGGTTGCGACGCAAGGGAAGGTTGCATCCGAGCCGGCTTGCATTGTCTCATATTTTCTGTTATTGTTTGGTTAGCGCTGGTTTTATTAAAAAGAACTCCCATTCGGTGCTTTTAATATCTTATCTCTTGTAATATTTGTATTTTCTTGTTACAATTTTTATGGTATGTCGAGATAAAACTGATTTATTGAGTATGTAAGCAATTTACAATCAATTAAATTGATCAATTTCATGTATATCGTCATAAAATATATATACGATATACAAATAGCCAGTTTTATTTTTTATTTCTTTGAAATTTGACTTTTCTGCGACATTTATGTGAATTTATTTGGCATAAAAGATGTGATGTGCGGGTCAGGTAAGGTTGCCACGGCTACGGACGTGTGTATTGTTCGCAGTGTGGACGGAGTGTAGGGGGCGCTTTGTTTGCTCCCAACCCGAACCCGACGTTATATTATCTTATTACACGTGTCATTTGCGGCACAACCAACCGGTCAGTCACTATTGTGCTGCTGAAAGGATTACCTAGTACTATACTCGCAGTTTTCATAGAATGATTTATCCATTTACATTTTTCATTTATAGGGGGAAAAGATAATCTTACTTCTTACTAATATTATAAATGCGAAAGTTTAGATGGATGGATGTATGTTTTTTGAATTTCGATGAAGTTTGGTATAGATGATAGTCTGGAAGAACTACGCACTTTTTTTTTAATTCCACGCGGACGAAGTCGCGGGCGAAAGCTTGTTAGCTCAAAAAAATTAGACTATAGGAATAACCAATTATAATAACTATCATAGTTAAATGTAAAATGCATTTATTCTGGGTTGCTAATTTTTTTTTATTATTACCTTGTGATTCATTACTGTTGCTTTCAAGTATGTTTCAAAGGAGTAAATCTCAAGTTAGGTAGTTCAGAAACTTGTTTCATGATGTTATCGAACGAATAACACTACCAAATGGTTATAAGTAGTAGTGAAACCATTAAATATGTAAATAGATAGTATAGGCAAGTTACAAAACTTCGAAATCAAAAGCTCTCTCGGGAAGTCTCGGATAATGAGCGGCTACGATATCGACCTATTCACACGTATATGCTCCATTTATAAGTTTAAATACTATACTCGTGTTTTCTTTATGTAATTTTTCATAATTAAACATTTTATTGCATTTTTTTAAATCCCAATTTCACCGCCAGATATTACTTACACAATGACCATAACTTTAATTTTGATACTCCAAAAGGTTTTTATGACGGCACTAAATTTCCTTTGTGACCGGTCTTTACCCATGTTTTACGAGAAACTTAATTTCCTATAAAATTTTAGTCTCTATTGTGTTGGTTTTTAGGAATTACTGACCTTTTAGAAGAACGTTTATGACACATGTTTTCTTTAATTATTAAAAAAAAAATAATATGCGTAGATCATAAAGTTCGAGTTAGGATTAGAGTGCTTTAATCTATCCATGCAAGGTAAACCACTTTGTTAGAATGTAGACTAAACGGGAAACAGTAAACTAACAGGATATCAATTCGCACTTGTCGGGAATAGGAAAACCTAATGTCGTATCATAAAAACTGGTATAATTCTCTTACTGCGGAGTCGCTAAAGATTTTAGTCCTGTTGAATATTTAAATCTAGACGCATGTATGTGCAAATAAGTATAAGCCTTTAGAGATATTAGCATAAGTTGTGCGAGTTGTATTTCTGTTTGCTCTTCGGTGTGTTTTATACGAAGTGAATAAATGTAACGCACACAAGCTTACGTAGCCGTTTAGATAAAGATTTACGTTAACATTCATCAAGCGCTTTATTTGTGTTTCCCTAAACTGCTTGTCATTGTCTCCTTAAAGATTTATAACTACTTAGAGACGTGGATATGGATGGTGAGTAAAAAGTGGTTGTCTCACACTGACTTAAATTACATTTATATCTATCTATCTGTATGTTGTTTCCACATTTAATTTGCAGTACAAAAAATGTGTGTTATTGATTTATTGGGGTCTTAATAGTAACTCTGAATATGCTAATTAAGGTTCTATCCTGAATGTAAATTAGTTAATTTCACTTATTATGTTGTGCCTAATAGTTATTTAATTCCATCAATTTCAAGTTAGGACTAATGATCATAATGTTAAAATGAATACTGCAACAAGTACAACACTTCTGTAAAAAGCCGGTCTCAAAATTTGATTAAGCGAAAAAGGGACAAAAAGCCGCCGGCTAATAATGTGTTAACTGAACTTTGAGGACTTGTAACACATTTTATCTACGTCCATGGAATATGTTACTGTTGTAACGCAGTAACATATTCTCCACAACTTTGACGTTCAGTACTTAACAAAAAAGGGCATATATGCTTATCTCTGCAGCTCGGTACAAACTTCCTTCATATAAAAATCGTATAATGAAAAATTGAAGGGAGCATTTTCCTTGTTTTTTGTTCAATGACGTGTGCCGTCACCTTTCGCATGCAGGTCATTAACAAAAAGATAACGGCGATATTGTGCGCTTTCCCCGCGCCAGACTCGTTACAGATAAGCCGGGAACGTTAAATATGTGCCTCTTGCGACGTGCGCCCCCGCGATACCGACACTCAACACTACGTATCCATAGATAGTTGCTTCCATTCATCGTATACATACGTTTAAAAAGATTATAGAAAGTAGCATTAAGTGATATGCGAAAGGGATACCGATACTATCAGATATCATGACTTAATGCTTGGTTAAAACCGAAGGAGACCCATCTTTGTCTGAAGGTAATGGTATCAATTTTTAATCATTTATTTAAATTTAAATAAGGAGAACCGTTTCTGCAAACGAGACAAGAGATACAACTTTTTCAGATTTTTGTTTAAAACATGAAAATACGTAGAAAAGATAAAACGGTAGGTGGCATAGGTAGAAATCTATGCAAGTGCAAATCTGATGTCTGTAGAATATTTGAATTAAAATCTAAGTTTAAGTAACGCATTTAATTTCAATATCAGATAAAATTAATCACAGAATTGTTTTATCAAAAAAAAAAAAAGTTCTGTTGAACATTTTAAATCTGTACCATCTGGCTGATTGAATGATTTTAGTATAACGAGTGTAACCATGCGTATTAGCACAAAATCCCGTGTTAGAGGATTGTATTGGACGCAGTAACGAATGCGTTTTTATCTGCACACGGATTGCACAACGAGCAGCTGTTATTGCTCTGTTATTTTGCACGTGTGTATATCACTGACTCAATTTGTGTAAATGAAATTCCTGAATTTGTTTCAGCTACATTCTGTTAGTAGTGAATTGGTTTTGTTATTGCTCTTTTAATGAGGAAAAATTTACATTAAGGATTTGAAACAATTTGTTTATGTTTAGGAATATTCATTTGATGTACTGTTCCCTTGTGATTTTCGTTTAAATTAGCCAAAGGCTTTGTCCAAACTAGAACACAAATTGCGTTACAGGGCGAGTGTCTTGTATCCGATCCAACGGCTGTGCCTGGCAATAGATTGCTACGATCCGATAGCAATTAACGGATAACGTATCTACTGATACAAATTTATTGCAGTGTATTAATGATCGTTACTCTAAGCCCTTGAATATCTTGATACCGTGTGAACTGTGCTTAATTAGAATATATTAAAGTGTTTGTTGTAATCCTTAATGTTTCGTCTTACCAAAGTGTCCCATACTTATGCGGATGCTTATCATAAAGTTCTTAACAAAATGTCTACTTTCATCTACTCATGCTATCTTGAAAAATCACTTTTTCTAACTAAGCGACATCACAAGCTTTTAGATTCTTCGTTCTATCTAATTGGAATAGTACCAATCTAAAACATCACTTTACTAATAAGAAATAAGTTTATATGGATATTTATTATGTAAAATACCGAAATGGGGCGAAGTTTTTTTCATTTTCACAGTCGATACGGTAAATTTGATTTAGAGCTCTTAAATTCACGACCAATTGATTCTCGGCCGAATCGTGACGAAAAGAGA